TCAAATACAGTTCAGCATGTATGTCTGTGATCAGCTTGGTACTTCAAAGTGATTAGAACAGTTAACTAGAACACTAATTCTAACAAATGTTCCTTTAAATGTTTAAAAGGAAATATTTGGTCAATGGGAACAAACGAAATACGAAGAGTGGGGTTTTTTGTTTTTAAACAAGGTCAGTTTCTGACATTGATGGAATCTTTCCTTTTTTTTTTTTTTCCCCCCATTAGGATGACTTTATTTCAGCCTTCAGACAGGCTGAATGTCGGAAAAATGCTTTTTCCGTAGTGAATTCTGGAATGCGTGTCCTCTTCAGTCCAGGCACAGACACCATTGAAGATCTGAGTATTTTATATGGAGGCATTAGCTCAACTACAATCAGTGCAAGAAAATCTTGTGAGAAACTTATAGGAAGGTATTGGGTGATTTAATGTATTTAAGCATGCACAAGGCATGCTGTGATGTGTGGGGTCTGTTGGATTCTGTCAGTGGAAGATCCCAGAGTCAGCTTCTCACAACCTCTACTTGTTAAGCCTTCACTAACAATAGGTTATTGCTTGCTATACCTTGTTTTACTTCACTCGCAACTTTCAACATATTTTACATTAGCTTTAGCTGCATGTTTATAGACACTTTATTCATGCTAGTCTATTCTTCTACCAGGCAATAGAATGATGAGTTCCTGAGCGAAGCTTGCAAGCTGGTGCTTGAGGAAATTTCTCCTTCTACATCACCTGTGGGTGGGAAAGTCAAATACAGATGGACTCTGGTTGTCAGCTTCCTTTTCAGATTTTACCTGGAAGTATTAAATGGTTTACATCAGATGGTAAGCACTGCACACCCCAGCAGCATCCAGGCTGCAGAAAATCTCAGTTTTTTTAATGATCTGGGCAAGGAAGGGTAAAAGTGCTAAGCTTTATTTCAATAGATGTGAAGGAAAGAACTTAATTGTAGAAATAAAGGTCTGACATCGCCTTTTTCTCAGTATCCCAGCAAGTATGCTAAACTCTCCGAGAAGCAGAAGAGTGCCTTGGGAGCGCTACAAAGCGATGTTCCTCAGGGGGTCCAAGTCTACCAGGTGAGGTGTGTTTGTAGCTAGGAGTGCCACAGACTCCCTGTCTTCATGACTATTGTCTCCTTTTACTTTTCATTTATAAGTCAGCAATAATCGTAATATGAAGCTGCTTGAACAGTTGACCCTGTGGGATTTTTTTTTTAATAAATTTCCAGGTTTCTCAGGATGCAAATGAACTCAAGGGGTTTTGCAGCATCTCGCTGTATCTACCCTGACATAGCTGAAACAGGGCACAGTTTTCAGCCAAGCAAGACTTCAGCAAGATTTAGTAGTGATCTCAGTAAAGCTATCCAGTGGGCCTCAGTGAAAATAAATAAACCAAATGGAGCAACATGCAGTGATAGATCAAGCCTTAATGACTCATTTACAAAGGTACAATATGAAGGTGGAGAACTGACTGGCATGTGAAAAAGTTTCAGTGGAAGATTTCAATAAAAAAGCGGTGGTGATGCTAAACACTCTTTTTGAAGACTGCTATGAGAAGCAGTGTGCTCCCAGCAGACTGATTAGCTAACAGGCCACAGTTCCACTGTGTGGACAAGTCATTTTGTCCCTCATAACCTCTTTTTCTTGCTTTTTCCATTTACATGTCTGGTCTTTCTGGGGAAAAGACTGCCATTAACCACAGATGTGACTAGTATTTAATACAGTAGACTCTTCTGATCTCAGTCAGGCCCCACACATTGGTGCCAGTATACCACAGTTCCTAAAAAACGAAATTGGCACTTTCAAATGTTGCCCATGAATATTGTCATAAAATCTAGATGTTCTCCACATGCATTTACTAATCGCAAAGGGATCTAAGAAAGTGTTCGTGAGTAAGACTTTGTATAATTATTATTCCAGCTTGAGGGTAACACCTTCCTATATTATGCAGGATGTTGACCCGGGACAGTCGCCACAGGATCCTGTGGGACATCCCGTCATGCACCAGTCTGGCGTTAAGCACGCCACTGGTGAAACACTTTACGTGGACGACATTCGTCACGTTGGTGGAGAACTTGCCCTGGCTGTGGTCACCAGGGCTAAAGCCCATGCAAAGATCACGTAAGTAAGAAAAAATCTCAGAGATATGTTATAATATGAGGTCATTTGCGTGCTTTGCCCCACATTTCCAGCACATTTCCATCGTTCTAATTAACCTCCATTCATTTCATCAAGCTGGGGTTGGAAAAAAGAAGAGAGTCTAGAGAAAATAATTCATAGAAAGGACATAAGGTATTTTTGTTTGCTTGTCTTTAATGCATGGCTTTCCTGAATGAAGCAAGGAAGCATGCATCTATTTGATACACGTCATATACAGGAGCTGCCTATTGTCACACACTCAGCAAACAGTGTCTCACTGCCCAGTTTCCCAGAAGGTCTGGTATCACACAATCTTCCTCATAGCCATCACCATTTGAAGTCAACTGAATTTGCTGGGTAGTTTCATTGTACTTACTGTGTTCTTCAGATGGTGTCAGATATGGACAGGGACTCCGTACTAATGCATTCACTCCTTTCAGTACAAAAAGTGTAGAAAGAAAATATATTCTTAAATCTTGAATGTACCGGGACAAAAATTTAAGGAGCCATTTTTTGCTATTCATGGGCAGATGCTCATGCTTGCCACTTTTTTTGAATACGCTAATCAACACTTCTCCAATTTCTTCTCTGTGAAAAGATTGTCCTTTGCTCAGAATATTAAATGGAATGTGTTTCTGCCCTGAAGTGCATGAATTGCTGACACCATGTACTGTATTCGTTTATGTGTATGCTCTCCTTTGATGCATCAGAGGCCCTTCAGGTGCCAGGAGTAGTTGATGTGGTGACAGCAAAAGACATTCCAGGGAAAAACGGCAATGATGAGAAGGCATTTGCAGAAGACGAGGTATTTCTTGCTTCTAGTTGCGTGACTGGACAATTTGCTTCAGTTAACAACAACAACAAAAAATGCAACTACTGTTCTTGTTGCAATGAAAAGAGAATGACTGTAAGAGCTATTAGTGCAGTGCTGGGCAGGTTGGGCTGTAAAGAATTGCCATTTCCCAATGAGAGATACAGGAAAAAATCCTTTAAATTACTTGGGGTTTAAATGAATCATCAGTGATTCTTTAGCAATTACTGTGCCTTCTGAGAAAAGATGAAATAGGTCTGGCATATGAGACTTTTGAGGATGAGAAATGAGGTGAGAATTTTGCCAGATGGATTTGATATGAATTTGGTTGCCAGTTTGTACATGAGAATATGACAATAGGAGGCAACACTCTGACTCTTATTATTGCATATCAGCAGAACTAAGAAATGCAGCCTGCATGACTATACAACTTGTTCCAGTCCTTATGTCTCCACCAAAAGTGACACTGTAGACTGGAATTGATAAAGGGCCAAGCGTAATTCCTAGTGTATTGCTCTTACCTCTGCTAGCAAACACAAGGAAAGTGGCCTGTGCCGCAGGATGTTTTACTTACTGCACTGCCTGGCTACCCCAGGACAGATACAGGGGAAATGTTCATGACTGCCGATGTCATCAACATTCATAATGCTGGAAAAATTGAAGCAGATGAAGGATGCCAGCAGCCTTTCTTATCCATTGATGATAGATCTGCATTGGGACTGTATTCACAATGGAGTATAATTGAGTGTAACCTGCTCCCCCAAGACACACTTTTTTTGTACAGGAAAGTAACAACTCCTACACTTTTTCCTTGCGTAATACACTGGTCTCTTGCAGGTGATCTGTGTTGGTCAGATAATCTGTGCTGTGGTTGCAGAGTCACTGACTCAGACAAAGCAAGGTGCTGAAAAGGTGAAGATAGTGTATAAAGACCTGGAGCCAATTCTGTCCATTAAGGTACTTCTGTCCATTAATCTCCTCCTCCTTGCCTGGTATCACGCTTAAGTCATCTCCTCCATTATTTTCCTCCTTGTGCAGATCTCTACCAGGCTTTGGATTATCTTTCTTTGATATGAGATGTAACTTTATTTTTTTTTCATGATGATGACTGAGGAAAAGAGATGATGAGTTGAACTCAAAAACAAACAAACAAACAAACAAAAGCTCTTCGGAGAGGAAAGAATTGCCCTGCATTTTCTAATACCGAACTACCACCATATGTGGTATCTAGTTGTACGGATGATTATTCTTTCTAAATTATAATTGACTTATTTTTCTTTCTGTAGGATGCAGTAGAACATAGTTCATAGATTACTGAAGAAAGAAAACTAGAAAAAGGAAATATTGAGAAAGGATTTAAATCTGCTGATGAAATCATAGAAGGTACATGCAGTGTACATACATGCAGTGTGTGAGATCAGGGAGGGGAGCAGTTCTGCTAGTTCAGAATCTGACTCCTTCCAGATGGTGATTGAATTTTAATTTCTATTTTTTTCTCAACTAAAGTTACTCAAGATTGTGTATAGCATTAATACTGCAGAAGGAGATTAGGATTGATATGACAGCATTAATTTTTGATATACAGTCAAACTGAACTCCTGTGTAGTTAAACCCAGCTTAAATCTTGTTGCATCCTTTAAAGGCCTTGCAGCCTTTACCATTTTGATATTGATATATAATATCAATGTATACTTCTTTAGTGGTTCGGCTAGCTTTAATTCTTTTCTAACACTTCTAATTCTGTTTTTAACACTTTCATGCAGCTCTAAAGTTTGCTAATGAACATTACAAATGCCTAGATAATGCTTGTGTAATTTTCTGATTGTTCTCTTTTAACATATATTACTGTGTCTACCTTCTGCTGTTATCCTCAAATTTCTGCAGATGAGGTTTTCTCTTACATGTAGAAACACCTACTGGATCATAAAAGGGAACTTAGCAAGCCATCAGTATCAATTCTATCTGTATCATCCTTGAGAGAATGATTAGTTTTATCTAATTATTATGTGGAGAGCTTCAGACATGAATACTCCACAGTATTCCCAGATTATTCCAGTGCTTCAGCATGCCTGTCATTAGAAGTTTTCCTCACAGCTAACTGAACTTTCTGCAAGTTAAATCCTAGTTTGCTTCTTGTTCTGCTTGCTGTGAACATGTGAACACGTAGCACAGATTGTTCTCTTCCTTTTAGCAGCAGTGTTCTATATATTTCAAAATTCGTATCTTCTCTCTCTTCTTATTAGGTTGGGCCACCTCAGTTTGGTCTGTCTCTCCATGTAGGACCATGACCTCTGATGATTTCTTGTTTTTTCTCTGCTATGCTGTGGACTTTTTCTAACTGTTCCTGATTAAAAGTCATGTCAGCCTCTAGTGGCTTCAAATCTGATCCCTACTGCTTCTGCACAATCATGTATTTCAGGAACAACTGCTAGGGAAATATTAGATCCAAGAATAGCATAAAGTTAAGATCATATAGAGAATTGACAGATTTTTTTTCTGAACTGTACTGTGTTAACTGATTTTCCTCAGAACGGTCCAGAAGGAAAGTGTCAAGACTGAGCTGAATAAAGTGCAGCAATAGAAGAGAATACTAGGAAAGAAAGGACAAGAAAAGCTGTGTTTTCACTCATGGAATGATTCAGAAGAGCATGGATTGTAGTCCTGTTATAGTAGATGAGATGTAGCCTTCTTAAGGGGGGAAAAAAAAATCTAATATTGAGGTTATCCAGGGGAGAAAACAAGTTATATAAGCATTAGCTGATATAACAGACTGATTTCCTTCTAATAAACGCATAGTGTCACCAGGCGTAAACGTGACATACAATCAGAAATAAATGAAATTGTCTTTCTTCTCTGTTATACATATATAGGCATATATAAACTCCCTCTCTGTTTATTTGATCATGAAACCCAGCTTAGATTTTCTTGTAACTGTAAATGTGCAGGTGAATTGCATATTGGAGGACAGGAATCTGGAGATGAACGGTGTGCTTGTTATTCCAAGACTGGAGGATAAAGAAATGGATGTGTATGTGGCAACTCAGCATTCAACAGATGTACAGGTAAAGCAAAGCATAAATCAGAGAATCACAGAATTGTTAAGGTTGGAAGGGACCTCTAGAGATCATCTAGTTCAACCCCCCTGCACATGCAGGGTCACCTAGAGCACGTGGCACAGGACTGCGTCCAAGCAGGTTTTGAAGATCTCCAGAGAAGGAGACTCCACAACCTCTCTGGGCAGCCTGTTCCAGTGCTCTGGCACCCTCACTGTTAAGAAATTTTTCCTTAAGTTTCTGTGGAACTTTTGGTGCTTCAGGTTGTGACCGTTTCTTTCCTAAGTAATCTTAAAGCTGAACTACATGGCCTTGTGAAGAGTGTTGCTTTCAGGCTTCTGTGCTTCTCCTCAAACTCTCTAGTGGTGCTCCCAATTTAGCTGTATTGATTTGGATCTTGTTATAAAAGTAAGAGACCAAGCTGCACTAATGATGAGACTGAACGCAGAGGTGAGTCCTGTGAGTAGGTTGCTATTTGGGCTATCCAGACCAGTGTGGACATAATGAGCAGTATAACTATTGGATGGACAAAGAACGGATAATAGAGCTCTTTAGAGAGAATGTGAGAGATTTTTTTTTGATTTTTTTTTAAGGCCTCAGTCTGTCTCTGTTTCAGATATACTGGGCAAAACCTACTAAAATCAGTGAAAATGCTGAATTCCAAGCATGAATCATGAATTGGATGCTCGCTTTTTGCAGGAATGAGCATTTTCAGCTTTAAAAAAAAAAAAGAATTGCATTGTTAATATAAGTCGTTCTGTTGATGATGGTGTCGTGTGTAAATAATGGTAAAGGAATATATAAATAATGGAAATATATGAATTATATAAAATAATGTTGAAAAAGAAACATTAACAGATCCTAGATGAAAACAGGATTGAATTCTGGGCCTGCAGAATAAACATTTTTAATGAATATATGTTAATTTCTACATGGTTAGGATTATCTTTTACAGCTGATCACTACATTGCATTTTTAAAGCTTTTCCTGACAGCTGTGCAAGTATAATCCTGAACTCCTTTTTCAGTCAAGCCTCTATTTGCATTTCTGGCATCTCTGTGTGAGGAGATCTTTTCAGAACGCACACTCCTCTGTGCTGTAAATGATCACTCCATTCCATCCAACTCAGTGAATGCTTTATATCTAGGTTGCAATGCAATGTGCAGTTCTAGACTGAGGATCTGATTCCAGATATAAAGTATGTCGTGGAGCTATTGTTCCATATCTACTTTCCATTAGATTGTGCTTTCATTATCTTCACTTGTTTGAAGTATTTTTTGTATCGATAGCAACTTGAATTTTCTGACTATGATTCCTTAGGCTTGTTAGGTTCTGTTATACAGTTAGCCAAGGAAAATACACATTTTTTTAATATACATTGGTAGACAAATGCTGGTCCTCAATAAAATCCTGGGTGTTAATCTCCACAGGAATTAGTGTCTTCAGCTATAAACCTCCAGTCCAACAAGATAATGTGCCACATGAAGCGTGTTGGTGGAGCCTTTGGGGGAAGGTTACCAAACCTTCTTTCTTTGCTGTAATTGCAGCAGTGGCAGCCAACAAGTAAGTCCTTTTCTATGATTTAGCTAAAACAGATTAAAGCTGACAAGACAATTAAAAGCAATCCTGAAATCTACTGGAGTGCTGGTTTGAATACATTGTCCTTCTACTCTATTTGGCAGCAAATCTGTGATAGAGGTTTCAGAGTCTGGGCTTTTGGCAATCGAATTCACTCACGATGTGATAAGTAAAACAAAGGCCTTCAAGCATTTTCTCTTAAGACTGATCTGTACAAATCCCAACCATTCAGGCCTTTCCCAGACACAATGCTTGAATTTCTTCTAGATATTTAGTGAATGGGCTGTTCATCCTAAAGCGTGCCACTATGGTCATCACTAAGAGGTTAACCATGTAGCATTTTTGTGATGTGCGTGGATAGGTCGTAATAAGAGTGTTTTTGTTTTGTTTTTATGTTCAATTTAGGACTGGGCGTCCAATTCGTTTTGTCCTTGAAAGAGACATGAATATGTTAATCACTGGTGGATGGCACCCCTTCTTTGGAAAATATAAAGTGAGTGAGAGGAGAAGAATCTTTGCTGAATTGCTAGGTTTCATCTGAGGCAAATCATCATTTTATTGACCAGCACAGCAGAGCATAAAACCTATCGCCTCCTGTTATGAAATCCTAATCCTAGTCATAAATCCCTGCAGGTCTCTTTTACAGTTCAGTGCTAAAATCCCCATTCTGTTCTGTAGCCTGAACCTCATGCTGTGCTTGTAAGTGTGTTATCTTATTTACAAAAAAAAAAAAAAAGTTTGAAATAAATCAGATAAAAGACTACAAGTGTATTGGTTGCTCTCTTACAGGTTGGATTCATGAATGATGGTAGAATCATAGCAGCAGATTTTCAGTGTTATAAAAATGGTGGCTGTACAAAAGATGAATCTGAGTTGGTAAGTCCTCCTTCACTGATACCATTTATACTTAACTGGCCACAAAATGAAAATAGAAGCTCCTTCTCAGAAACTATTTCTATTAAGGATGTGTCTAGTCTTGTTAAGTACCTCTCACCTGTTTGAAGTGGAAATGAATCTGTAATCCAGATGCAGATTACAGAATCTCATTAAGGAGGTATAATATCTACTCTCCAGGAATATTGGAAATAGAAAATCCATATTTATAAATTCAGTGAAACATGCCCAAGACAGAAGTTTTATTAGGTAGCATATTATTATAAAGTTATTCTTTCATTTCCCTCAGACTGAAGGTCTGATTCTTCCTTCAGTAACGCTTATTCATGCTGTTGTAATTTCACTGTTTTAAATGCAGTTTCTCTGTATTTACATTAGTGTAAACAGACCTTCTTAATACAATTCTGTTCCACCTTAAAGCATCTATGTCTCATTGGTCTCTTCAGTGTTTTGTTACCTTTTTTGGAAGGAAATGGAACCATCTGAACAACTGTAATCTTTTCTCTTATCACAGGTGATTGAGTATATTGTGATGAAAGTGGAAAATGCCTACAATATTGCCAATTTTCGCGTCAGAGGCCATGCCTGTAAGACTAATTTGCCTTCTAACACTGCTTTCCCGGGATTTGGGTTTCCCCAAGCAGGTCTGTTTGTGGAGACGTGCATTGTTGCTGTGGCAACCCAGACTGGCCTACCACATGAGAAGGTAAAAGATCTTAGATTACCAAATAAAACACATCAAAACAGGGAATTCTAAGACCTAGACTGTCACAAACTCCTTCTTATATGTGTTCTTACAGAGCCAAATCTATCAATGTTACTTAGGCTGAGCAGACCTTTATTCAGAATTTTTGCCTCCATGGAGTAACACCTCATATAATACCAATGGTAGTAAAAACCTGGCCAAGAATCTATTCCAAGATGTCCGAGTGCCATTGTTGTGACAAACTCTAGTCAAAATAATGTAATCTCTTGTGCTGTGTGTCCAGTTCCATATGTCTCTGTATGTTCAGCTATCACCTGAATATCAGTTTCTCTGGACGACCCAATTTTTCTTCTGTCCGTGGGTTTCCTCTTTTTTGTCTATGAACAGTTTAGTTAGCTGGCTCCTTCATCTCAGTATCAGCCTGACATTTCAAGTTTCCCCACTGTCTTTAGATCCAGTTTTTCAACAATTTTAATTGTTTCCATTCCTGGCCTGTTACCAAGTTCTATCCTTTCCCTAAACACATATCCGGTCCTTACTTCCTTGCATACACAGTTCAGGGTAACCTTTTCCTGTTTTGTTTGAACCAATGTATATTTAAGTAATCTATTCTTAAATAATTTTCCCTTCCAAGGATACCAATCATCATTTTATTTCTTTATTTCTTTATTTCTTGAATCTTTTCCCTCTCCCATTTACTTCCCTCCTCCTTACCATTTTTCAAGCAAGCTTTCAGTTATACCTCCAAAGCCCCAAAAATGTTTTTAACTTTTGCTCTCACTTACCTTCCTGATCAGACCTTGCTCCATCCCTTTGATAATTTCCTCAGGTCTTGGCCAGGCTTTGCAGCTTCCCTAGAGCTGCTCCAAGGTTTCCTAGACTGTTGGTCTTTTGACTTCCCTGGTTCCTTTGACTGTTGGTCTCCCCACTGTTCAAAGTCACCTTGAGATTTAAGAGTCCATTCTACTATTCTTTCATAACTGTTGAGCTTTTCACCTGGCTCCATGTTTGTGCTCTTTGATTCGTCTTATTGAGAATTGAGTTTACCAATCTTCTCTCCCTTGAGCAGTCCTTCCTCCTGTGAGGAATCCCACTGATAGAGCAATCCTACTGAGACCACCTAAGTTCATGGACATGTGATGGGTGCAAATCAGACCATCTGGGCAGCAATTTCTTTAGAGAAAGGAATATTTCATTATGCTTAATATAATTAAGAGTTAATTATATTAATATGGCATTATATGATATGTCATTGTATAATATAAAATATGTCATTATAGAAGGCTGTGTTTCTATTCAACACTGTATAGATTTGCTTGCTGTTTTAGGTTAGGGAACTAAATATGTACAAAGGAGTTAGCCTAACTGCCTTCAAAGAAAAATTTGATGCAACAAATCTGTGGAAATGTTGGAAAGAATGTTTGGAGAAGTCTGAATACTTCATCAGGAAAGAAAAGGCGGAAGAATTTAATGAGAAAAATTATCGGAAAAAGAAAGGGATTGCCATCATTCCCATGAAGTTTTCTGTTGGGTTTAATGCCGCCTATTATCATCAGGTAATTTCTTTGAAAAGGTGCCTCTTCAACATAATATCTCTAATCCTTTCTCCAAAAAGAGAGCACATATATAATCGCCACAGGCAAGAATAAGAACTTGTCAGGTTGGACAAACATAAAACATCATACACTAAACTATAGTTCCTTTCAGAAATAGTGGTACCATATCTATCTGATAAATGCTGTCTAAAGCTGTTAATTTGAATTTCTAATTCCCTGCCTTCATCCAGGAAAAAAAAAATCGTCGTCAGAATATAGAACCTGGAACTTTCTGTTGTTTGGTCTGTAGTGAGAAAAAATGACCACTCCTATAAATTCACATAAACCCAGATATGTGATAGGTTAACATCTGATAGTAGATATACCTGTGGATGAAGATAGTGGTATCTCTGGGTAAATTTTCCATGTCTCTCTCCCTCTCTCTCTCTTTTTTTTTTTTTTAATTAGTTTATTTGTGCCTTGAGCCCAAAGTTTGTTTGTTTGTTTTTGTTTGTTTAGTTGGTTATTTTTAATGAGTTTCAGAAAACAAACACAAAGTATAGCTTCTGTTTCAAGGTACAATGCAGAATAAACAAAATAGTTCACATCTTAGTTGTTTTTTCCATCACATTTTTTTTTCTGGGCAAGTTTATAGCTCAAGAAAGAATTCAGACATTCCTCTATGTCACCCAGCAATGTTCTTACGGTAATGAAACATTGAGGTCACAATTCATCTGATACAAATGGACAATTAGAGGTATAAATAGTAGTTACATTTCACCTAAACCTTCAAAATAAAGCTCAGGCAGTGTGTTGACTTTCCAAAAATACAGATCTAGTTCCTTGAGAATAGGTTTATTATTACTATGCTTTCAGTCAGCTGAGATTCTAATTGACATCAACAAAATATTATTCAATTGCAAGCATCACAGTTTGGCACAAAAAGATCATATGGCCATTATCTCTCAATGTAGAATTAGTAGAATAAAAAGATGTCCTGCATGTGCTGTATTTCATAATACCTCCAGCTCCGTTGCTTACTATGAGTGTTGGGAACTGACTGTGCCCTGCAGAGAAATGTCTCTTCACAGAATTTCTAGTCCTCTTTCACATTTTCCTTTTCCTCTTTATTTGCTCTTGATTTTATCCATGCATGGAGAATCATTACTGACATTCTCATCCTCTTGCATTTTCCCTATTTACAATAGCTGTTTATTGGCAAAGGACTGCACCAAAAAAAGGATAGAGAGTGGATCAGGCTCTCTAAGCCATTCTCCTGGCAGCCTATGAGGAAGAGTGGAAGAGCAGCTGTGTCACTGTTCTGTCACAGTTATGCACTGTGGACATCAGTATGCATTGCTATCCCATATGGATATATGCAAACAGAAAGGAAGTATTTAGTAATTAACAAACCCCTTGATTTCAGAATTACAACTCCGCTATAGTTTGATCTAAAGGAAAAGTTCTACAGGTGTTCATGGGAGGAGATCCTTGAACCTGCTTTTGGATCAGACATCAATGCCTTGCCTGCTGTCCAAACTGCTTTGGAACGAGAATCAAAATCTTCTCTGTATTTCTTATTGTGCATGAGTAGGGAATAGTACATGAGGCTATACATGCTTTATAACTAGAGCCAAATGTTCATACACCCAATTTCACAAGATAAAAAATGTGCTGTTCTGTTATTTGAACTAATTACTGCGATTCCTCCTGTCCCATGTCTAGGTCAGTTCCAGACTACGTTTTCCCAGAAGAGTGAAATTTATTATTGTCATAATGCTAGAGAATTTCTTAATATACTGAATCCTGTGAATAAAATCAGTCTTTTCCTTGTTCTTTTTCTTAAGTAACTCTGTTCAATGCTGTTTAACTCTGATTAAAGTTATCACCAAGTATCTGTGACTTTTCTTTAGGCTGGAGCTCTTGTTCATATCTATATAGATGGATCTGTACTAGTGACTCATGGTGGAATTGAACTGGGACAAGGAATTAACACTAAGATGGTACAGGTGAGTCAAATATCATCTGAGCATAAACAAAACACGCTGAGAAAGGTAACGGAGTTAAAAGGATGAATGATGATAAGTCCAACAAATTCTACAGATATAACAAGATTAAGTTTAATGTTGGCTTGTTGCTTCTGAGTAACTGTTCAAGGAAAGTCTGTGGAAGATAAAAGCTGTAACAAAAGTGATCTCAAACCACGGGTAAGAGCTGAGCCGTCTACATGAAATCAATCACTGTTATCAGGAGAGCTGAAGTACAAAACACATGAGAAAGGATCTAACAGTTGTCTGGGAATTTAAAATGCTGTAGAATTAACTCTGTAGTACATTTAGCACCAATGACGTCAGTCCATCGTTATCCGTTTCTGGTATAAAAAGTGATAAACAAAAGTTTGTGTCACATGGGTCATTTTGCAGCTACAAGGAGCTGAATGAACATTTGAATATCAGAGAAACAAGGAAGTGGAAAAACAAACTAACCAAATTGTTTCAAATGAGGTAGCAAGAAAAAAAAGATGAAATTTGAATCTCCACAAAGGGACAGTTATTTAAAATTCAATTCAAAATTTTACATATACAACTAAAACCTAATTAGAGGAAGCAATTCATTAGAGGCAAAACATATTGTATGATATTGCATTATATTTATGTATAAAATATTTGTTTTACAGAATAAGGAAGACCAGTGATTTTCCTGGTTATAATGTTACTGTTGAATTTGCTAATATCCTTGTTTGTATAGAGAAAGAGATTAATGGCAATACTCTATTTTTCCTGGCTGGAGGCTATTACTTCAAGTGGACTGGAGATTATATATATATTTCACTTATTTCACTTTTGTTGCAGGTTGTCAGTCGTGAACTGAAGATACCATTGTCATATATACACTTCTGTGAAACAAGCACAGCAACTGTACCTAATAGCAAATACACAGCAGGTTCAATTGGAACGGAAATCAATGCAAGAGCAGTCCAGGTTACATTTATTTGCATTTTTTTCACATGATCATTGGTCCTGTTAAATAATCAGTACCCCTCTGTGGATTCATAACTTCATTTTTCTTTTGAATAGCTTTTATAAAACAAATCAATTATTTGTCTCAGAATGGCTCTTTCTGGTTATTTTATATGCATAGTTTAAAGCAAATCAAATTAGTTAGCACTGTTCAAAGGGGCTGCTTTCTTCTGCTTTTCTGTCTCAGATTTACAAATGTTTTATTTAGATTGCAGCAAGAGGAATGTATGGAGCTTTAGTTTATTCTGAGTATTTGAACACAGTGTAAAGGGGAATTTAGCAGAAGTTATTTCTGGTACATATTTTTATAGTGAATGAAATACCTTTATCCACTTAAATACTTTGCAATCAATTATGGTTTCATTTATTTTGCGGTAAGTCACTCAAGACAGTGATTTTCTAGTCAATCAAAACAGGAGGAGGATCATGTCCTTCGTCTTCTGTTTGTTGGTGATTTCAGTGATAGTCTGATACGGAAGATCTCATACATTAGAGCAGATGCCAGTGCCAGTCTTTACAAAGTACTGCATTTGTAGCTGGCAGGTAGCAGAGGAGAGAGGTTGTAACTAAATGAGCAGAATTACGGCCCTCAGAATGAAATTGCTAACACGGCCTTGCTTTGAGCCCTTACCAATGCTGGGGAACGCTTAGCAAATTAACCTAACCAGGCAAGAGCTTGCCTCTGCTGAACACAGCAGAAAGTTTTTGTTTACGTGTTGGTTAACAGAGCCCAACTCTTTATCCCTAGGATGCCTGTCAAATCCCTTGGAAGCGCCTAGAACCTATCCGAAGCAAAAATCCTAAAGGCAAATGGGAAGACTGGGTAAGTGCCTTTCTATATTTTATACTGTTATGATGAATCAGTGGCTGTAGGGTGAGACTTGCCAATGCAGGAGGAGTGAGAATTCCTCTGGAGGCAGAAGGAGAAGGGGGTGTCCCTGTCTGAAGTAACCTGAAAGAGAGGAAAGGAAGGAACAGTGGAAGAGCGAGTGGTGCAACCCATTGGCCTGGTTGGTATATCTGGCCAGCTTTTGCTATGTGTCCCTTGCTAAAGACCATTGTAGGACACAAGGAAGCATAAAGGTTTTACTTAGGGCTCCCTATTTCACTTTTCCTTAAACATAATAAAGTGTGCGGGTATACATACATATATGTAGTTTTAATTCTCTGTCTTTACTAATGAATATACTTTTTGCAGCTCAGTGAAGCTCACAAACAAAGCATCAATCTTTCAGCTACTGGCTATTTCAAGTAAGGAATGTTGTTAGTCTCTTTGTATATCTTGGCATAAAAAGGTGCAACTTTGTCAGGGTGTTTGCAGGAATGATGAAACTTTCCCCATAAAATCTTAGTAAGCCCAAATGAGTCGCAGCACACAAACCACCAAACAGGTGCCTATATCAGACTGCAGGGTTTAAGCAGGAGGAGGCTTTCTTTTCAATGCCTATTGGTTTCAGTATCGCTTTATATCCTTGGTTTGCTAGTTTGCTAATGGAGCTATAATCCCCTCCAGTGCCAACTACAGTAGGACAGGGGGAGAGGAATTTTGCTGCATGACCATCACAGTTTGCCTTCATTCTATCCTCCTAAATCATTCAGTGCTACACATATTTATCTGTGGTGATAGACCTCAAGGCATCTTTGACTGTGGAGATCCTAAGAAAAGGGTTAGATCTGAGTATTTACTTCACGTGCTGTGTGATTCCTCTGACAGTCTCAGTAATGAGGATGATGGGGCAAGGGGTGTCTTGATTAAATTGATCTGTTCTTACTGAGTGTTCTTACTTCCTCCAGGGGTTATGTTACAAACATGAACTGGGTCACAAAGAAAGGCCATGCTTTCCCATATTTTCTTTTTGGAGCTGCTTGTTCTGAAGTAGAAGTCAACTGTTTAACAGGAGACCACAAGGTAATGGCAAAAATTACAATGAACTGAAAGAGAGCTGGGTGGATTTCCCATCATTGCATTCAAGTGACAATTGCTTTCTTCTGCTGCTTTTGGCTGAGAATAGAGACATAGTCTTTATTAAATATACTCCACAAAGTGCCAGCAGAACGGTAAATGACTATAAATGTCCTTTACAATATATTCTCTTAATCCTCTTTTAGAGATAAAATTCTCTAATCAAGTTGTTGATCAGAATAATAAGAGAGTCTGAGAAGAGCAGAAGGTAAATTTGTAATACTTGTGATGACCACTCTTTAATGTGTGGGACTAATAGAAGGTCTAATAATGTATCTGTCATGTATGACAGCTTTGAAATTCTACCAGAACTCCTGGACATCTGCCTGTGAGCTGGCTCTTCAGCACCACAAGCCCAGACCATTAAAGACTGCTTGGTCACAGGGCTCCATTTAAAACAGAAGAAGCCACTTTGACATAGCACGCCTGCTGCAGAGGGGATTCAGTGCAGGGACGAATCTCAGAAGCAGTGTATGGAGACCAGCCTGGTGTCTTCATAGCCTCCTCGACGGAGGCCTCTGAGCCTCCTGGCCTTCGCTATGGGGGGCCCTGGTGCCTCCCGGTCTCCTCTTCGGGGGCCTCTGAGCCTCCTGGACTCCACTATGGGGGGCTGGGAGCCTCCCGGC